CTAGGCCATACATTTGAATGGAATTTAAGAATCCATGATTTACATAGTTGGGAAAATATGTGAAAAACTCAATGGATTTTTGGGTGCCTAAAAAAAGTGGAGCATCTCTCTCATTTCTTACATGCACTAAATCTTAGATTTCTTTCCACTTCCAATTTAGACTAGCCATAGTTTAGTGCTCTACCTGAATCCAACCAAACTATGGTTTGTCTTAACCAACCTTCCACAACCTGGTACCCTCCAGATGCTTTGGACTTTAACTCTCATTAGCCTTAACCAGCATTGTCAGTGGTCAGAAATGCTGGGAATTGCTTCTCAAAAACCTGGACGGAGAGGGTGGGTGTCGGAAGCAAGCTAATTACATCTGATTTTATTCAGCTAAACATAATTAGAAGCAACTACAGGTTAGGATTTGGATGGAGTCCTAAATCTTCAGATCCCCACCTCTTGGCTGCACCAGAAGTTGATGGACATAACAGCAAACCACCATTTATTGTTATGACGGTACTGAACCACTAGCATTTTCCCGCGATCTCCCTCAAAACAGTTGGAAATCAGATATCTCTGCACTGCTTCCAAAAAATATAAATTCAGACGGGTAAAAAGCATAAGTAAGATGTTCCTCAGTAACAATCATTTTAGGAAAAATGCTACATTTACTGGAGTATCTGCCTATCCTGTACTCAAAGTACGCTTTGCTTTTCTCCATATTGGGCATTCATTTTTCTTATGCTTCCACACTCAACACGCTCACTTGGCCCTGGCTGAGTTCCAGAAGGAAGATCATCACTCATTAAAGGTGATGGGGAAGAAGGAACTTCCTGCTCCTTTGGAATTTTTGTCTTCGGCCACGAGGACATCTGGGAAGAGGAAACGTCAAAGCCTTTCAAGGCCGCAGTTTTTCGCCACATGGTAAACTGGGGAGAGGCAGTCTCATCTCCTTTCACAGCAATGGTCCTAACTTGGATTGGCTTCCTTGGAGCTGGAAAAGAATAACAGAATAGATAAAGGTAAAGGTTTCCCCTTGCATTAAGTCCAGTCATGCCTGACTCTCAGGGGCAGTGTTCATCTCCGTTTCCTGGCCGAGGGAGCCAGCGTTTGTCCGCAGACAGTCTCCGTGGTCATGTGGCCGGCATGACCAAACACCGAGGTGCATGGAATGCTATTACCTGCCCACCGAAGTGGTACCTTTTTATCCACTTGCATTCGCATGCTTTTGAACTGCAAGGTTGGCAGGAGCTGGGATGGAGCAACGGGAACTCACCCTGTTGTGCAGATTCGAACCGGTGACCTTTCGATCCACCAGCCCAGCAGCACAGCGGTTTAAACCCCTGCGCCACTTGCAGTCCCACAGAATAGATACTGGGAACTAATTTCATGTGGAGCAGTTATGGAATCTGTCAAAAACATTTATTGACCGGCTTTGGTTCCTTTGTTGCAGCATGTTAAAAGGCCTAGAGAGCAATGCTATGGTTATGATCCTAAGAGTCCAAATGTGGAGGATTAGACTTATTGCACGCAGGGTGGGAAAACGAGCAGAGCTGGCCGTTCCCCTGTCTTTCTGCTCCTTATCTTTGCCAGATGAGCTCTTTTGCCTGTTTAGCAGCAGCATTTCAAAGTGGGAGAAAAGGAGGTCACTCACTAAGTGGCACCAGAGCTCCTGGCAGTCTTTCATCATATCCTTCCACAGGAAGAGGCCAAGCAGAAGTTCTTTTGGTAGATAAGGCACCGTAGCCTTTCAAGGTGCTGGTCTGCATCCATAAGGAGAGCTGTGCCGAGGAGACCTCAGAAACCGTCTTCAGAAATAGTGGGTGTTGTGTTACCAGCATGTCCCTTCCTTCCGAGGTGCCAGTCGTTGTCCATGCAGGAGTCCTTGTAGCTGGATGGATGCAAGAAGGTAAAGCTAGTACATCTATAGCTCATTGTGTCCACTAGCACACTCTTTGGCTTATGCTCCCAACCTGCCTGAAAATTGAGAGGGGAGATGTGGAGGAGGCAGAATGCTGCGTTTTGGGACAAAGCAGTGTTTGAAATACCAGGTAGAAGCTATCAGGCCAACTAACCTTCACCTAGAAGGTGCTATAATAGGGTCTCAATGGGAGCAGCAGCAGGGATGGAAATGTACAACCTTCCCCCATTCCACCCAATGTCCCTTTTCCCTTGGGATTCAGCTCTTATTTTTATTAATTTATTTAAAGCTTTTATAGACCATCCTATTACTAGCATCTTGGTGGTTTATAACAAGCACAGTTAAAAAATGGCACAGCACCCAGCAATTCATAATAAAATCACAATTAAAACCAATTAATCATTAAAATAATGGGAGAATAAAATGGTTTTCACCTGGCCCCGAAAAGAAAAAAGCATTGGCGCCAGGCGAACCTCTCCAGGAAGCATATTCCACAATTGGGGCACCACCACAAAGAAGGCCCTGCTCTGGATAATCACCCTCCTAATCTCTTTGAAGGAGGGCTCCCGGAGCAGGACCTCCACCTCAGATCTCAAGGGGTGGGAGGGCATATAGGGAAGAAGCCACCCCTTCAGGCATCCAGGACCCAAGCCTTTTCGGGCTTATGTGCATCTGAGCTAGAAAGTCAGCTCAGAGCTTTACTCCCTCATGCCTTTCCCAGTTGGGAGGGGAGTGAAGCTGGTTTCATACCATGTCACCATTCAAGCAGCACCCCTAATTCTGGTGGATTAGCTGACTGCAGGACCATCTCTACTCCATAGCTGGGGAGCAGACAGAGAGGGGGGAAGCAATTGTCATCCTTATCACAGCATGTTTAGATGTACAACCCTGCCCCCTCTCCCCCAGTTCACCACTGTAGGAATCAAATTGCCCCCACTCCTAAACTGATCTGTATGGATCAGCTGAGAAGGGGTGACAGGGAAGGCATGAATGTGTGGGTGCAAGTGTTTGTGGGTACCAGCACTAGCTCCACCCACTTTTGGTTGGGTGACATGGTTGACATGTGCCCCCAGTGGCCCAGCCAAGGGGCAAAGCTAGTCCTGGATGCCTGGAGTAGCTAGCTCTTTTCAAAGCTAGCTAAGCTAGCTCTAGCTTAGCCCCTCTTGTGGGACGTTACGTACAATGCTTGGGACACACTTTGAGAATCACTGATTTGGCATTCTATACTAACAATCAAAAAGCGGCCATTGATATCTCAATGACCTTAAGTTAGCCAATTAGCAAACTTCTCTTCAACTGGGAGACAATTCTACCAAAAAGAAAAAAGGCTTAAATGCTGAGGATACTTGCTCACTTTTAAACGTCCATGTGTGTTTTGCCATATCACCCATGACCTTGCCAGTATCTTCTTGTAAAGCCATTAGACCAGGTAGGATTGAGCTTAAATCTTTTGGGGGAAAAGACAGATAAAACAGCACATTGGGTAAAATGTAGCAGCCATCATGACCCAATTGGGCAGAGGCAGGAACAGGATAGAACAAAACAATGGAGAATAGAAACTATCTGATGAAGGGGCAACTCATCCTTAATCTTCTTGCTGTACTGAAAACCAAAACCAAGGGCAGAATTAGCCAGCAGAAAACATCTAATTAACATTGCAAAGGATCTTTTCTGAATTGAATTGACTTGTGCATAGATATTACAGAAGAAACTTAGTCACACTAAAGGAAATTGCTGGATAATATAGAGCAGAGGCAGGCAGGCAGTCTTCAGTCTTGTGGGATTTCTTAAAAAACTAGAATATTGAGATCTACTAACATGGTGGCTTTCAGGGTGAAGTCAATTATTTGTGGCACCCATGAACTATACAATGGTATATAAACAAATCTGAGTCAACATAGCTCAGCGTTTCTACATAACTCTCTAAAACTGCCCAGCAGCTGAACAGAGAAAAAGCAAACAATTTAAATCCCATTTTTACAGATGAAGAATGTGGTATCAGGATTTCAGCTACTCTGGTGCTCAGAACCAGGAACCCACCTCAGTATTTGCAAGATTGTGGTCTCAGGCTCTGCTGCAGTGCTTAGCTTCCTGAGAAGCACCAGCTGGGAGCTCTGTGGGAAGAGCTTTCAAACCTTCCCTCCAGAACGGGCCTCAGCATCACAGGTCTTGCTGTTCACTGTAGTGCCTGCATCTCGCCTGGTCTCCTCCCTTGGCATATTGCCTTAGCAACACAGGTTCTCCTGCTCGCTGAAGTGCCTGCACCTTGCTACATTTAGTTCCTGTTGTATCCTGCCTTGCTGTGAATCTTCCTCTGCCATGCATCCTGCCTTGACACATTGTCTCTGTAGTGCAGTCTGCCTGCCCGCTGTGGTTCAGCTCCTGCATCTTGCCTGACCATTGCTGTGTATCCAGCCCAGTTATCCTGCCTCAAGGTACCTCCATCTCCATTTGTCTTCCTGCTCTTCACCCTTGGCTTCTTCAGGACCACATCCTTGTTCTGCCCTGATACTTCTGGTTGCTGACCTTGGCCTGCGCTGTGACTACAACTTGGACTTGCCATTAGACCTTGCTTTGGACCTTGGACTCTGTCTCAGGTTCCGTTGGCCTGGGCCTGCTGCCTCTGTCTTGTCTGCTGCCACCCAAGTCCCAACTTGGACCCTGACACCCTCAAGGCTGAGATGTAACACATTAGACAAGGCCAGCCACATCGGAGGGTTTTTCTCCTTGTATTTTCACTTAATCTCTTTAAACTACCGGAAATCAAAATCGCTCAGAGATCTACCATCACCAAAGCTTCTACCATCAGATCCCAAATGACCTTCTTCCACCCTGGATTGGAAGAACGTTCAGTGCCACATGGAGCTACCATTTCAGTTGTGTTTCCAGCTCACTGAAGAAGAGCAATGCCTCAGCAGTTGGAATGGGCTCCAGTGCAGAAGCAAGAGTCACTTCTCAGCATTAGAGCATCACCATTCCATGCAAGGAGAACCCGTGCTGCATTGTATTCTTTGCATTGCAAGCAATAGTTGAGCACCGACAGTCACGCTATTCTTATTCTTTTTCATTAATAGGTTCAGGATGTACTCACCCAGAAGGTCAGACACGTTACCAGAAAAAGTATAATTAATAACAGGGGATTTCTCAATTGCTTCCCATAAGTCTGACAGATTTCTGCCTGGGGAGAAAAACAGAGGGCATAACTTAACTATTTTCAGCTAAATCATCACCATGATTAGTGTCATGAGGTCTGGAATAGTAATGGAAGAACGCTGCAGTGCTTGGGCTCAAATTAATGTTTCAGTCCCAGTCTGTTCACTGTTTTAGCATTCAATAAATGGTAAGGGATTGAAATGAATGCTCAAGGAGCCAGTTCAAAGTCCTTTTCCATTTGCAATCCCACCCCAGTCCCATAAATGGAAAAAATAATCCTCTTGGAGGATGAAGAGGGCTGCAAATGCTCCACTCCACTGTGTGTAATGGGAATGCTTTGCAGTGGGGAAGGGGCAGGAGAGGAAGCAGCCCTTCCACTGCCAGTTGCTTTCCCTCTGAAGCCCGTTTTTTCTGGGTACCTTTACCCTGGTTGTTTGAAACACATGCTTGTCAGACATCCATGGGTCCAGCACGCAAGCAGGGGTTGGACCAGCAGAAGCGGTAGGGTCTCAAAGAGAAAACATCTGGCAGGGGAAGGACTGGGCATCCCCTTTTGCCTTAGCCCCTTCAAAGCCCACCTGCTCCAATTCTACTTCTCAGCTAGTTTAGCCCAAGATATGTTGTAGTCTCAGCAAAAAAACTGCATGGCACCTCCCACTGTTCCATGCAGAGAAGTCCACTGGACGGGCAGTTGAATTTTTCTTTTTAGGTGATGGGACTGCACCCAGCGTACCTGAGGACAGCAGGATAGCTGAGAGGGCACAGGGAAGACCCTGTGGGGCTTGTCAGGCAAATAGATGCAGTGCAGCGCTCAGCTGGGCCCTGCCTGATCCACTGCACCGAGGCCAAGAAAGAATTTCCCCCTGCAGTACTTCAGCTGGTGCACCTAAGCAAGGGGGTGGGTCTTTTCCAGCAGCAAGCTGGAATCTTCTGGATTTGGAAACTTGGACAGTGAAGACAGTGGGTGGTTGGACAGATGGTCTCACCTCATAGCAGTGAATGGGTTCAGTGGACTTCTATCCTTCCATTTTTATGATTCAGTAGCTATAGGAAGTAGGCTTCAAACAAGGATGTATCTGGTGGACCGATACTGGGCAATGGAACTTTGGACCAAAGATGGGTGGAAGAAAATGCCATATTGGAATGCCTTCACCAGCTCAACAAATGCTTTCCCCACAGGGCACTAGCAAACCAGGAAATCTAGTCTATAATGCTTTCTCTTGGCATGCTAACTTTGCCTGGGGAGAGCCTGTGCAGTGAGATGGTTAAGTGATGGACTGGGGTTCCAGGAGCTCCAGATCTAATCCGCACTCAGCCATAGAGCTTACTGGGTGGCGATGGAGCAGTCACAGACACTCAGCCTAACAGGGCTGTTGGGAGGACAACATGGGGAACAGGGGCATCTTTAAGCTGCCTTGGGTTCCATGCAAGAGGAAGAGGCAGGATATACAGTGGAGCTTCGGCTCACGAACACCTCGGTTCACAACCAAACTGGGTCCTGAACAAAAATTTCATGAAAATTTTGACTTGGGTCGTGAACTCCACATTGGGTGGCAGCCAAGATCATGGCCATCTCCCCCCTACCCCCACCACCCCGAGTGGGGAGATGGCCACGATCACAGTTGCTTCCATGCAGGGAAGACATAGAGGAGCTGACGACAGAAGAACTTGCTGAACTCCGGAGTGAGCAGCAGAAGGCACCTGCTGAGGAGGATTCCACTGAGGAAGAGGAAGCCAGGGAGGAGGTTAGCGGTGATGTGATACAATCCATTACGAAAAAATGGAGTGAGTGCCAGGATTCCTTTGAGAAGCACCACCCCAACATAACTGTAACGAACAGAGTGTTGAATCTGATGAACGATAACGTGGCCTCTCATTTCCGGAGGGTTATGCAGCACAGGAAAAAACAAGTGACTATAGACAATTTTTCACCAAAATTGACCCTGCAGCTAAGAGACAAAGAAGAGAGGAATCCCCTGAAAGGGATCTCCCCAATGTCCTTATGGGGGGGGGGGGGCCTCCCCCCCAAAAAAAAACCCCCCCCCCCCCCCAGGTTAGTGTTCTCCACCATACTGCACAGTACTTTGTTACTTTGTTGTTCTTTGTCACTTTGATTCAAATTTTTCTGATTAAAAGAAATAGTTACAGAACAAGTTAGCCTTATTTACATTGAACCTTATGGGGAAATTTGACTTGGGTCAACAACCAGAGTCGTGGAACAGAATGAGTTTGTGAGCCAAGGTACCACTGTAAATTTAATGAGATAGCAATACTCTATGTGTGATGGTACAGTCCAAGAAGAGATGTAGGACATGACATGAATGTATATAGAGTTCAGCTCTGAGCAACATGTTTGTGGAAGAGAAGATAGCTTCATAGTTACCTATGCGGCCTGACATGACACAAATGTAGATGCAGTCTGTATCATTACTCTGGCTCACTGAAAGATAGACGGATGTGGCATTGACACAATTAAGATCATTATACTGGAACTTTCTTGAGCTTTACTTCAGTGGAGGCATGGGACACCAATTTCACCCATTCATTAGAAGGAAAGCTAACACAAACATTAGCTTTCTATGCACATCTTGAAGAGCATAAGTCAAATACATCCTATAAGTTAAAAACCTAATTGGCTGATTAATCATTTCTCCCTCCTCATGAGGAGAGACTGATGCCCCACCAGGACTCTTTGGAGGATGGTGGTGCCTCACCTCTTCACCCAATGGAATGCCCCCTTCTAGCTGTCAGCAAAGATGGTCTTCTATCTTCAGAGGCCAGCCAGCATGGGGAGAACTGCCCCAGCTATGTGGGCAGAAGGAGAGATCTCCAAGGTTGGAGTTCCTGTTCCAACTGTGACTTATTTTCTTAGGTCACTGGGACTCCAACCCATCCTATGGTTCCTCAGACTCTCCTTAGAATCCATATAATTACTCTCTCAATAAAACATTGCAGCTCTAATAGAAAAGCTCAGCATCATTGTTAGAAACCAGTTTTGAAATAAAAAACAGCTCAGATATAGCTGAGCTTCTTGCATCAGGTTCCTGGTCCAGTATTTTCAAATGGAAGGAACTGGGTGTGAAGGATCCCCATCCACAAAGAGCAACAATTCTGACCTGACACAATAGAGGTGGACTTGAAAATCTCTGTCAGGTAATCAGTGGAATTCCCAACAATATCCACAAGCAAAGTGGTGAAATCTGGACAAAGAAAACAAAGCATGTTTTACAACTGGAGGGCTGCCTCTCAAGTCCATTTCTGCTACTGTGAATAGAATAACCATGTGCTGAGGGAAAACTACACATTCTCACCAATACGCTTTATTAAAAGTGGCCATCTTATGAACTGGCAACTTCAGTTTCAGGGAAAGAGGCTTCACGGGCCTCCTAATGAAGAACTTGCTCTGGTTTTGGATCTGGGCCATGCACTTGTTTCAGGCCAAAACCCAATGAAACCCAAACTCTGAGAATTCAAGTAAAGGAAAGGGATTTCAAAGTCTGTTTAAAAGTGAAGATTGCAGGAGGATCCAGGATGGTCCAATGGACAGTCTACTGTTTCATCCTGTTTCCAGAGCAACCAACCAAAAGCCCACGGGAAGCCCACAAGCAACAACACCTTCTCACCCCCATTCCCCAGCAACTGGTTTACACAGGCATCCTGCTTCCGATACTGGAAGAAGCACATAGCCATCAGGACTAGCGGCCATGGATGGCCTTCCTCTCCATTCATCATCTTCATCCAGTCTTCCTTCATTCATCCAGCCTTCATCTCCATGCATTTCTGCAATCTCCTTTTGAAGTCATGGACATCATTAGCATTCTCCAGCCATCCTGGGGAAGCTAATCCCATAGTTTAACCACAGAAGTCCTTCCCTTGATCTGTTTTGAATGTCCTCCCAGCCAGTTGCATGGAATAACCACTTTCGGTTCTCGTACTATGGGAGAGAGAAATGCCTCCCTATCCACTTTCTCCAAACTAGGACTCATCTTATAAATCTCTAAATGTCTCCCTTTAGTCCCTTTCTTTCTAAAAAAAAAATGCCAAAGGCTGTAATCCAGCATCCTCCAAGCAGCTGCCCTCCAAGTGTCATGGACTACAATCCTTATCACCCCCAGCCAGAATGGCTAATGGGAACTTTACTGCAAAAACATTTGGAGGACTTGGAAAGGCCAGGGAAGGATGAGCTTCCAGTAACCCGGAACATTAGACTTGCCCTTTCCAGCCCTTTCCCCAGCTTTGCAATGTTCCTACTTGTGATGCAGCAACCAGAAACTTACACAGCATCCCAAGGTCGGATCCGATGACCTTCATGCCCTCTTCCAACTCTACTCTTCTATGATTCTAAGGGTGTAACCCATAATCACATATCCCTTGGAAGAGCGCTTCACAAACCCAGGGCTGCCACTGAAATGCAGGTTCTCATAGCCTCACAATTCTTAAGAGAATTCTTCCACCCAGGCAGCCACCAATTGATGCAGGCAGCCCTTCAAATACCTTGGTCCAAAACCATTCAGATGACAAGACAAGGGTGCAGCTAGAATTATGCATTCTATGATTGGTGTACATAATACATTGATTATGGTCTAAAATGGTTTTAAAATGCTCCCCATGATAACCATTCATGAAAACCACTAGCACCCAGGTTGTGTCACGCACCTGTTAAGTCATTTGTCCGGTTGTTTAAACAGTAACAGTACCTCATGGGGAATTTGCTGGGGTCAACATTCTTCAGATTGGATACTGTGAAGGAAGGAGGGCCAAAACAACATTAGCAGCGGTCTCGCACATAGTTGTGTGCATTACAGCAGTGCTGAAGCCCAAAGCAACATTTTCCCCCAATCCCATCATTCCACACATTTGCAGCTGCTTCTAAAAGCTCCTGATAAGAAGAGGGAGAGAAAGGAGAGTAAGGGGGAGAGAGCACTGAAAACAATGACATGCCATAAGCATATGCAGCTTCCCATTTATCTACCTGATAGCAGAATCATACAAATGGAAATGAACTAGAATGTCCTTCTGCTACCCTGATTCAAAACACCTTTACAGGGAATAAGCACCATTTTATCATAGAAAATTCTATATGTGAGTTAAACAGCCACCACAAATATGGTCATGCCTGGCTGGGTGCTTCTTTGATGTTAAAATGTTTTTGGGCCTTTGAAGAGGAGAAAAAGACTGCAACAAGCTGTGTGCAGTCTGACAATTCCAGCCTGCCATCAAATGCAGATCCGAGGCCTGTTTGGTAGTCTCCCATCACCGGCTGCTCTCCAGCCTTCCTCTCTCGCTTCCCTCAGGACAACAAGCCAGGCCTAGCTGCACCACTGGTTCATGAAATGGGCCAAAGAGGCATTTAAAGCATAGGCCAAGCACAGTGCAGGCGAACGGTCACGGGATCACTTACTGTTGTAGAGGACGATGGAAACTTTATGGAAGGCATAGGAGCTGTAGGAGGTGATACTCAGCACCGAGAAGAACTTTTTGGTTCCTGTGGAAAGACAGGGCACATTTCACTGCTGTACTGAGATATGGTTATGACTATGGCTGTCAGCAAAAGCCAGAAAACTGGCTTCCATGTGGCATCAATGAAAGAGTGAGCTGCCCAGCTGAACATCTTCTATTGCATGGATGCCTCCTCCAAACTCATTTCGGTTGAGCATTTCCTGAGCTACCATCACACCCTCACCTTCGCTCTCACCTGGTGGATTATCTAATCATGACCTCACCACAGCATTTTCAATTTAACAAAAATGTACCCCACCTTTACAAATAAAAAAAATCAGGGCAGTTTAAATAGCTGAAGTATAAAAATATTATGAACAGCAACCTTCAAATACAATCACAAGATTGCCCTCTGTGCATCCAAACCAAGAAATAACACAGAAAAGTATCAAACGGATTTCCATTCCATGAATTTTTTTGAACTTCCTTGTTAAGCCAAGTTCATGGCCATCACCCTCGGTAGCAAATCCACACCTTTGCTCTGTGCTGTCTGAAGAAGCATTTCCTTTTGTCTGTCCTGAACCTCCAACCATTCCATTTCCTCAGGTTCTCTCACTGTGCAAGAGAAGTTTCCTCAGGTTCTCTCACTATGCAATTTCACTTATCTGTTTTCTGCCTACCATAGCCAACTGTATTCACCTCTGTTTTGTCTCCCCGACTTCCTTACATTTCTCTAAGCTAAGAACCCTGAGCTGTAACCTTTCCTTCCCCTATAGCTGCACAAGTCCTTGATCAAGCTGGTTGCTCTTTTCTGCAACCTTTCCAGCCCTGTGATACCCCTTTTTTCCCCAAAGGTGTGGTGACCAGAACTGCAATTCTGCCCTATCGCATTCTCCAGGGTCCCTGCCACCAGGGGTGTGCTTTGGCAGCCCAGGTGCCAGGGAGGAAGGAAACCTTCATGTGGCAGCCTCCAAGTCACCGCTCCCACCACCAGGTAGGTCTGATGTAAAAGGATGGGGAAAATGGAAGGGGCTTCCAGGGCATCTCAGCTTGCGGACCTGTGGAGGGTGAGATGCTCATATTCAGTCATGCTCCAGCAATGTCATCAGATCTCTGGATTCCAAAACTGGATGTGTTAGTTTGTCATGCACGGGGAAGTTTCCCCCAACAGAGGAAAACATGTGAAGCACGGGGAAAGTCTGTCCCTTGGGGCCCCAACATCACACACTGCCTGTCTGCATGCCCCGCATGCCCTTCCCCACGTCCACACATTAGCAGCAGTTAATACATGAAAGGACCATCACAGAAGGTGGAGGAAGAGCTACCTTTGAGAACAGTATTTAGCATTCCATTAACCAGCTCTGTCAGGTTAAACGCTGCCAGATCAACTGACTTAACAGGCACCTCTGGAAGAGAACAAGAACAATCACTTGTAATTCGTGCTGACATTTTGTTAAACATTTCAGAAGGCACAAGACAGAAGCAAAACTTGAGAGGAGCACATTTCACTGCCGCAGCACATGTGCAGTGACTGTGCTGAGGACACACTGCCATGCCGCTTCCAGGAGAGTCTTGCCAATAGTCCATCATGCATGGCATTCGGGTGGTTCTCTTTCTGCTGAACCCTCTCCCAGTTCGAAAACTTGCTTCCTTAGAATCAAGATTGCCTGGGCACGTCTAGGAACGGTCTTGGCCAGCCAATGGCAGAGAGGGAAGATCAGGCTGTGTGTGGACAGCTAAGGAACCATCTCACACAAGTGTTCCTCCCCAACACAAAGCAACTTCAAAGCAGGTGCTTTTTTCCAGAGAGTTATGTGCCATCTATTCTTCAGAGTAGTTTAATCACATATTCTGCGGTCCTACCACTATGGGCTAGGACATGCCCATCCAAAAGCCATGTCCACACAATTTCCATAGGTAGGATATACTTATACACCAGAAATATTAGTTTGTGGCAACTTCTCCTCCCCAAACTCAGAGGTTCACCCACACCCTGTGCAAAACAGAAGGAATGATGGAGGCACTTTTCTCCTCCCCATCTACCCTGCTCTGCATTTCTGCTGGGTGGCCACTTTCAGCATCTCAGACAGGGAGGAAAGGAACCTGATGCAGCCTCTGGATATTTGTATCTTGGCCTTCCCAGTCTCCTTCCCACCTAACCCCCAAACTCCTTTCTATCCCTTCTCAGAGACTTCCCAAACCTCAGAGAGCAACCAGCAGTTTTGTTCCTGCTCACTGTGAATGGGCAAGGGGATGGTTGGAGCTCTGATCCAAAGTTCTCTAGCTGAAGCACCATCAGAGGGTCATAAGACTCATCTTTTAACATTACATTTTGTATTGGCTGTCTTTGACATTTGCCAGTTATGAACAATGTTCTAGCATGAGGCACATTTTCTTTCCGCCATTGCTGCTTGTGGAAGGAATTTTTCAAAGCTATTTATGCAAACATATCCCAGCCATTCCCAGCCTGTGAATTGATTTCCATGACTTCCAATGGGAGATGGAGGGATACAGAGCTGCAAAAACTCCCCACATAGTTTCCTTCAGTACCTATAGTTCCTATTGACCCTCTGCTTGTGATTCACCATGCCATCTTTTCCAGTTTAGAACAAACTTGTGCAAAGAGAGGAAAGCTTCTCTAGACATCAATTTGACTTCCCCTAACAAGCATTTACCTGCAGTTGCCAGCACAGCCACCTGCTCTTTCATTTTTTCTCCTTTTGTGCCTGCAGCTGCAAAAGAAAAAGAATTCAAGAAGCAGGCTTCCTTAAAATCTATCCTTCATACCACAATCTATTAAAATGAAACCTCAAATTGATTTTAAAACAGCCTTTCTGTTCTAAAGGGATCTTTTAGATAAAGGGCTCCTTGGTTATTGCCTCCATTAGTAATGTGGGCTTTGGAGGAAAATCTGAATTTGTCAGGTTTGTGATGTCCTAGACCCAGGATGGGAAAAGCGTAGCTCTCCTGATGTTCTTGGCTACAACTCTAAGGTGTAGTCAGTGTGGGACATGGTTGGGGTGATGGATGCTATAGACCAACAGCCACTATGGGACCGCACATTCCTCACCCCTACACTGGTAGAAAACACATGTGTTAAGTGGTACGTGCAACGGGGCTTCATAGGTGCAAAGACATGTCAAATTCGGTTTCATTCAGTTTCTGTTTCCTGAGTGTAAGTTTGTGCTGACCCATTTCTGCATCAGTTTGCAAATTCAGTGAAGGAAGAGGAAGAGGAAGAGGAGAAGTCTCCATGAAAAATCATTCTACTTTGCACATGCATAGCTTCTTATGGGCACATTTCATGCACATTTCCTAGCATACAAACTTCCTGCAAGGGGTTTTACATGAATATAAAGAGATTTTGTGTAGATTTCCACCTATATTGCAGAGACTTCTAAATTACAGACTGGTTCACTTCTGTGAGTGCACTTTCCTTAATATATAATAAACACATTTCTATATGCATTTTCGAGTGTCAAGCTGCATTGTGAAATTTGTGCAGTCTGGATTTGACTGGAAGTGCATTCCAGGTTGTTATAGGCTTAAGAAGTCCGAATAGACCAAGTTTCTAGAAAAATGAATATGAAATTAATCTTCCATCTTGACCCACCATCAACTTGCAATGACTCTTTCTGTGCAGTACTTATGCCTACAGGATTTATCTTTCTGAGAGTTCCATGGCAAAGAAGCATAGAAAATGCTGAAATTGGGTCATGTCATGAAGCTGGTAGGTAAGAGCATCAGAACTGAGAGAAGGAAGCATTTCTTCAAGGAGAGCATAGCAAACAAGTGGGATTCACTGGAATGGTGATGGGCACCAATTTAGGTGGCTTCTAAAGAACATCCAAAGGGCAAATTTGTGCAGAAGAAGGCTAGGGACCACTACTGGTCCTGGTGCTTGCACATGACCTTCAGTATCAGAGACAGGGTGCCTAAGTGCTGGGGAAGATGGGTGGGAGGCAGTTGATTGGCCACTGAGTGTACAGAATTCGGGAGTGGGTGGACCATTCATGAGATCCATCAGGCTCTTACGTACTTGGAGGGACCATAATGCTCCAGAGAGAAAACTGATGTGTGGTTTTAATAAGATATTCCTTTCAGTTCATTTTTTTAACCAGTCTCAACCAGTTTGCACCTTCCAGACCAAAGGAAGAATCAGATGCAGTTTGTAAGCATCTTCAGATGCTTTGAAGATCAGAAGCATTCTCTTCACCCCTTCTTTTTTTTGGCAGGGGGATGGTGGTGGTCTGGAAACATCCAAAACACACCAGGGCAGCTCAGTTAGTCCATTCTCCAGGTGGAGCAGCATCCCTGATTAGGGGACTTCCTTTCTGGCTTTTCTGGGAAAGATAGAAAATCCCTGCAATATTATCAGGATGTATTTCTCTCACCTATTGTCCTTTCTGGCCAAAGAGCAAATTTTTGAAAGGATAAATATTCTTGAACTCATCCATCTGCTTGCATGTTCTATGCTTTGTTTATTTGTTTTCCTTGTGAGCCGCCCCGAGGCTTCCGCGATGGGTGCGGCATAGAAATGTTATAAATAAATAAATAACCAAGGGGCCTGCATTCCCAGTCTTGCAATGGCCTTGCATACCAAAACTCACCTGTTCCACGGTATGCGTACATTGGAAATGTGTGCATGAACAAAGGTGCGCAATCCAAAAATATGCAGAAGTGCATCTAATCAATGAGTAGACAATGTGTGCATTTCAAGGATGGGCATAATCCAGGCATGCATTTGAAAACATAAGCACAATAATGCTCTCAGATTTTCATTTGAAAAGACAAGAAGTGCTGCTCTGATGCAGACATGAGTCAAAATGAGCACTGAGATAGAATTTAGAGCACACCAACTAGCTTCAGTTTTGCTGGCTTGTACCTCCCTAACCTCTCCCTCCAACAAGAATATCAAATTCCTCAAACAAGACAGCTAATTGATTTACCAATTAATAGTGAATTAATGAGGCATGAAGAATCTGTGGCCCTTCTGCTGTTACTGTACTCCAAAACCAATCAGCCCCAGTCAAGAAATCCAGTGGCCAGGGATGATAGGAGTTTCAGTCCAAGAACGTTGAGAGGGGAACAGATCTCCACCCTTTTCCCTAGATAGAACGGGGCACTAATGCATGAGATCTGTCCCCCTCTCGATGTTCTTGGGGCATTAAGCAAGTAAAAATGCTCTTCTCGAGATCCTAGTAGTTGGGCAATATATTAAATAAATAAATAAATAAATAAATAAATAAATAAATAAGAAATATTTTAACGAAGCACAGTGAGTTCACTTTATCGACAGTATCCACATCTAGAAAGTTTTTCCACTAGTCAAAGGCTGCTGAACTAAAGAATTGGACTGGGATTTTTAAAGTTATTGAAGATCAGCTGCAAATGTTGTTAACTCATTCATTTATAATTTGACTAAGAAAGAACTGACAGATTTTAAAAAACATGCCATATGTGTAAAACAGTGAAGGTACACACACATACACATGAAGACACACACATGCACACAGTGCTACTTACCCAGGTTGGAAAGAGAGAGGAAGCATAGGAAGACCATGGAAAAATTAGTGGCACCATGCAGAGGTAACCATGGCATTTTGGATGCCCTGCTCCACCTGTGCAAACAGCCTGGATAGGCAGAGGAGGGAAATGGGATTCAAAAACATCTGACAGAAATGAGTTTAAGCAGGTCAATCTCTTTGGTTCTTGCTCATTAACAGATTTGCACCTATCACTATGGGGGCGGGATGCATATAATGAACCACAGCCTGCAGAGGCTTTTGCAGGTGGGGTTGCAGTCCCCATAATCCCCAGCCAGGATGGCCAATGGTCAGGGATGATAAGGTTTGGATCCCAACAACATCTGGAGGTGTACAAGGTTTCCCCATCCCTGTTTTAAACAATTCAGGGCACAAGCCTTTAGTCTCCCAAAATTGCAGGCGGGGGTGGGGCTTATAGGATTACTCAGAAATCCAGCTCCAAGATCCTGCGACCTCAGCTGGGACTCCACCCAGTTGAGTTCCCACCCCATCGCCCTCTCAGTTGGTATGTAAAGAACCAGGATTGGGATTAATCCTATCCATTCCTCTAGTATCTGCAGGCTTCCTTTTGTTTTGGCTCGGTCCTGCAAAGCAAGCCAAGCCAAAGAGAAGTCTGTAAATGCTCAAGGAGCCCTAGCGATTTCCCCCGTTGCAGCCACCTGATGAGCCGGAGGAGGATGCAGAAAAGGCCACTGCTAGAAGAGGGCCAGCACTTCTTCCACACCCAGTGCAGCCACTGGTCAGGGGAGAGGGGCACTGTTTGCACAGCACACGGGGCTCAAGTCCTGGCGAGCACCCCACAACCTCTGGGGCACACTTGCCAGCGGCCTGGACTCCAGGCTGCTGCACAGTGGACACAGTGGTCCTGGAAGCAGAGCCAGGGAATCCGGCAGATTCCCACCCCTACTGGATTCCTCATGCATCCCTAGGAGGAACCATGCTACCTGCTTCTCTGGGCTCACAAATGTACCTTGGAGGGAGGAAAAGGATCTGCCAGGGGAGGGGGAAGAGGGTGGCTGGGGCTGAGCACTTATGCCAGTTCCTGTCAAGGCCCCACCTCCCCCCCCCCCCCCGGTGAAAATAGCCAAGAAGATAAAAATCAGGTGAGAGCCCCAGCAGTGGCAGAAAATGCTGCTGCAGATCTGCAGGCCTCTGAGATCCAAGGCTTCCATGCATCTCTAAGCAGCAACTGGAAGCACTATGGTGCAAGCGACAGAGTCTTTAAAAAGGCTTCTATGTGCAGAGTGCATGCCGGATGCAGCCCTGAATGAAGCACAATTTGAAATTGTATCTCCCCGTTGCTGCTTGGCCACAATAATGCAGGAGGCAACCCTGTGCAAGTTCAGAGCAAGAGGCCTGCATCCATCCATAGGTGCTTTTTTCCTGCCTAAACTTGCATATTATTTCACCTCAAGCCACCAGATTTCCCACCTTGGCACAGGGTGGGTGGGCATGTAGGGATGTGTGAGAACTTCCAATCAGATCCTGGCTTCAGATGCCCCACTTCGGACAGATCAGACACAGTTCCAGGAATAATCATCAATAGGTGTGCATGAGAATTCAGTTTTCGCTCACAAAACACATGAGCACGTCCCATCTGAAGCAGTAAGCCCGAGTCTCCATCCATTCATCGCATTCCCAGTTTCCAGTTAAACTTTCTAATTTGCACAAACTTCACTGAGAGATGGAACCAGCCCCACATTCATGGTGCACAAATTAGGAAAGATTGGCATGAATGTGCACCATGGTGTTTCCAGCCAGGCAGTCCTGAGGATCTCACGTGTGATCAAAGCACAAGTAAGCACTCCCAGAAAATGCAACTCTCCCTGGTCCTCCAGAATGGGTTGTTCTGAAGCTTCTTCTCTGAGAGCTCCAGCATCTCCTCAGAGCAATGCCTCCAGTAGGAGCCTTCAAAGACACCCAGCAGACAGGCTGCCCATTGAAGAAGGGCAAATGAGCATTCTAGGTCAGCCTTCCTCAACTTTGTGCCTTCAGACACAGTTAGACTACCAATACCCAGAATTCCCAGTCAACAGTCCTCATGGATGGGAATTCTGGGAGTTGTGGTCCAAATGTTTCTGAAGGCCACCAGGGAGGGAAGGCTGTTCTAGGTGATCAGATCAGTCTATCACTCCCAGTTCAGAAGACATGGGAGAATTATCCACCATCAATGGAAAACACAAACTGTATTAGTGTATGCAGCAGTAAGTTCAGATCTGTTACTTTTCAGCTCAAGCTTATGTCCACCACACATGGTCTTCAAGATCCTCTGTCAACATGTTAGCCTTATTCATATGCACACTAAAAAATAAACATTGTCTGCCTTCCGAAACATTTATCCAGGCTTCCAGCACCAGAACAAGTATGAGAAAAATCATGGGAGACTGTAGTGTTGAGGAAACTCAGCATGAATCAAATGGGGAAGTCTAATTCTATCACCCACACCCAGCGGCTGAGATGCTTGTAACTTGTCACCAGGCCAAAATGGAATCACGGATCAGAAAGCTGAACCAACATTAATCTGCAAGTAGGGCTGGATTCGTGACATTTGTACAGAATAGCCTCTCTGTTTGATGAGCAATTACTGGAGCCTCCATGCTATTGTGACATTCTTGTAATAAAACAAGGAGGACAAAATGCCTTTGATGTCTTTTAATATTTCACAAAACAATGAATCAGTCTCTCATCCTGGTGGCTATCATTAGTATTTCAGTTCAACAGATGGTCATGGATAAAAAGCAGATGCTTCTCAGCTGTCAAGCAATTTTCCAACCAGGTTTCAAGTGTTCCGATGACATATTCAAACAGGTCAAGAGCATCACTGAATGGTGTGCAAAGAACAAAAAAAGGTTCTCACTCGGTGCATTATGGATTCTCGAAACAGAATGCGAGATGGCTGTATTCCATGACAAGATACAAGTTCCCATGAAAATTGTGACACTTAAGTTCTTCCCATACCACCCTGCCCTCTCCAATTACTAAGGACTGTGCCTACTCTCATTTTTGCCCTTCCAGGAGACCTTTGAAACATTTGTATGCCCAAGATGCTGCATTTATTTTTCAGCACTTGGTTTCCTCTCCAGATCTCTAGAGGAGGAGTACAGAATCTACTTGGGCCATGGGACTACTCTGGACTGCTCAGCTCCTGAATCTGGACCACAGAGTCTTTTGCGTTCCTCCGTTGCAAGGGATGGGTCTCCACATCCCACATCTTGGATGATTCCCCACTGGAGGAATCCCTTAGGGGGAAAGTAAAAGTGGGAAGTTGGGTGGTACTGGAAAGAGGCACTGCTGCACCAGAGCCAGCCAACCCTTCCTTTGTGCACCTCTTGCCATTCCAGTTGGAATGCTGAACGGTTCATGAAGCCAAGGACTTGACCAGCACTGGAAAAATCATTGGCTACTCCCAGTGCCAGCCAATTGTAAGGGTGGAGCCCAGCACTTCTGCAGTATCGATGTGCTACTTCCATGTAGGGATGGGCTCAAAGCTCCGAGGAATCCATCCTTCTAGCATCTATGGACTTCCTCTCATGCTCAGCCCTTGCTCAGAAAGCAAGCTGGGCTGCGAGGAATTCTGAACATGCTCATGCAACTGACCGGCTTTTTGTGCATAAAGTGCAGTGGTACAGGCAAGGCACATGATTCAGGAGAGGGCACCATGGGGCTTGATTCCTCGTGTGCACTGCACAAAGCCCGGGCACACCCTTCAGGACCTTAGACACACACTCAGGGGGGAAAGGACTGGAGTCCAGGGAGCCGGCCACAGGGAATCCAATGCATTCCTACCCCAGAACAGATTCTTCACACTTCTCTACCACCGTGTATGAATGAGCGCCTCTTTACAAGCTCTCCTCCATGCGTCTACCCTCAACTGAGTGGAATATTCTAGACTGCAGACACAGCACATTAATGTGTGGAATGAGAGGCAGCACCCTATTAAGCTTTCCAAAATGTACTTTTCATTGCAGAACTTACACATTTCTAAGTTCTATGTTATCCTCCCACAATTCTGTTGTTCTCTTTCACCTGCATCATGTCTCCAGATTTCAGCCTCTTGCAACTTACTCTTTTCTTTCCCAGTGCAGGGCAGAAAATAACCAGTTTAGTGATTTTGCTGTTGGCGTGTATTTATCCTCACATCCCAAATCAGACAAAGTATCAGGGGTAGAAAAATGGCCCAAAGATTTTCCAAAGAAGGTGGCCTAGGGAGGCAGTGTAAGTACTCTGAGTGTCCAGGAGCAGGCACAAACGATGGAACTTCATGGAGGAAGATTTACCTCACCAGACTGATTTGTTATCGGGGTGGAAAAACACCCCACAACACCAAAAATGTTAGTCCTTAGCAGCGGACTTTTGAGTCCTATGTCGATGAGGCTCCTCATCTGTTGCAGCTTTTCTTGCTCACTTCCTAAGATCTATCCATGGTGCTGAGCTTCATCCCCAAAATAGGTTTGCCACCAATCAGCACCATTCATAGCTCTTAAAGCTGAAAAGAAAAGCTGCAGTGGATGAGGATTCCCACTGACGTGAGTTGCCAGCCTCAGCTGCACTTTACCTGAAATTTTTCCTCAACAGTTGATGCCACTTTGCTAATATATTTGGTTTCTAACATAATTGTTCTGGTGCCACAGACACATGTTTGATTATGGGGACATTTTACTACCCCAGGACACACTAGCGAGTGGCTTGGGGTGGTAACATGTCCCACAACAATATTATTGGTGCACAGTTTTGCAATTTCTGCACAAGGATTAAGGTAAACCAAAACATCGCTCTTTCTTCAGAGTTCACTGCCACAACCAATTCTGCAATGCCCCAGATCTGACCCATCTGAATTCTGGCTGTTGTGTACACAAATTCTCACATTATTTATGGAACTCAATTCAAATAGAAAACAAAGCATGCTTTTAAAAGTTCGTAAACCCCACCCCAGTGCTTTACAAATGTCTTGTTTGAAATTATTGTTACTTCTTGGTGCCTGTGACTGACTAGCCCAGGATGAGGGGGGGAGTATATTTTCTTAAAAAATAATTCATTAATGTCATTTTAGCAGTGTGCATTTTTTCCACGTTTGAATGGAGATGCCAAATCGCTCAGCTGGTACAGTGTTTGAAGGACAGGCTCACTCCCTGTACAGCCTTGGTGAATGGCAGCATGCAAGTCTTAACACATACCACACATACATGATTCATGATTGTAAATGTGTATACTTCCATGACTTGACCAGGGCAATACCTGCCGCACTCCACAGCAATGCGATATCTCCTGTTTCCAAACCTTTCACTAAGCCAATATTTTAAAAATCTTGATGCATGCATTTAAGTCCAACCTTGTGTCCTTCAGACATAAAAATGACATGGTGAATATGTACTAGTTGAACACTCAAGGTTAGTGCCATTATGATGTGTAGGATTTCAGCGATACTCTCCTTTTAACTTCAAATTGAAATTGAACAACATATCTTAGATTGGGGTGGGTTAAAGGAGGTTAGGAATCTATTGGTAATCATCTGTGATTTACAGCAGATTGTTGCCAACTCCAAATATTTTAATGCAAATAAATGAATGTGTGCGAGTATTTTATCAACCTTGACTATCCCTGGACTCATCACTCCTCCCTTCAGCCCCGTGTTCCTCATAGCTAAATATTTTTGGCACTAGCTCAAGTTCTTCCTCCACTCATGGCATTCTCTGATCAGCTTCTTTACTTTATGACATTTTTGACTGACAATTTATTGTTAATGGTTCTAGCTGTTCAAAATCTAAAATGATTTTGGTATGCTTTAGGCCTGGCTACAAGATGCCTTGAATCATTTTCTGAGAAAATCATCTCTAAGAAATGAGAATAATATTTAATTAGTTGCCTTTCACCAGGGCTTTGCTAGGCTCTTCTGATCCTTTGGAATCAGAAACCCTGGTTTACAGTAAACTGGATGCAGGTTTGTACTTGGATGTGCTGTTTATGGATTGCAAGAGGAAGCTGGCTTTGCTGCCTACCTTATTTTACACTTGGATCTGATCTGTGAATCTCAGGGTTCTAGTAAAACAAAAGATAAAGGGAAAAAAATCCAAGGCAGATTTTCACACAGCCTAAACTGCCCATCCTTGTCTTAGATCATGTCTAACACAGTCGAGCTTCCTGGAAGTAACCCACTTGCTTAAGTAGGAATAAATCATAAATGTTTGACCTGGGATAATGGAATCATTTCATGCAATTGCAATTCTGTGTCATTTCATGGTTCCGATCTAACAGGTATGCTGGACTAACAAAAGCATTGACCATAATTCAACTGGGCTATTTAGCAGGACAAATTACTTAAACTGACATTTTTTGTATTGTTAGAATCAGATACCTAGTGGGGGTTTTTTTAAAACTCCTTTATCTGTAGCAAGAAGCACAGAAATCCTATTGTACAGGTAAGGATAACAGCAGTCTCCCATATGCCCCATGTTGACTTTCACTTCCATTCCTAGCTGTAAAAGGCAACTATTGGAGTTCTTAAGCAAAATTTTAAAAGCTAATCAAAAGAAATATTACACAGTAGGAAAAAAAGTATCTCCTTCCTAGATCATGACTGAATACATTCAGAATCTGATGACTTATTTATTAACTTCGTTAAAGTAATCCTAGAATTTAAGAAATTCTGAGTTACATTAGTCATTAGTCGGTTACATTAATCATTCTATCTTGGTCCAGTACCAGAGTAGATTGCTCTCTGGAACTTTCAGAAAAGAGCTACAGTTATGCCAAAACTATTCAAGGTCCGCTTTTTTTCTTTCTCTCTCCCCTACCAAATCTATGTATCTTTTAGTCTCAGCTTACCTGGCTTCTGTGAACGGTGTTGATAAACTTCAGCAAAGGTAGTCAGCCAAGGAGATCACCACACTCCTTTTGATGAAAGGTAACCAGGTTGTAAAGAGACAAGAACAATTACTGATTTGTTGTTGTTTTTTTAAAAAGTAAAGAAAAAATGGGGGGGGGGGAGAGAAAGAAAATGAAAACGCTTGGTAAAAAGAGGAAGTTTCAATCCTGGAGCGATGCAGAATCAGTGAAAAGCACCTGGATGCAAGCAGAGTGCTTGTGGCTCCAACTGGAGTGAATCCCTTAATGGGATGACCTGGCATGATGGGACATGAAATCACATTTGGCAGCAATTACTTTCCCGTGAAAAATAGAATTGAATGGATTCTTTTTCCACCATTTAAAGTGACAGACCCCTTTTAGGGTCTGGCCACCACACCAAACACAACCCTCAAGTCAGGAGTTGTGGCTTTCAAGGTATTTTGCCACACACAGACACACTCACTCCACCAAGATGTAAAGGCCCGACCAGTCCAAAGAAAAAAGAATCTTTGGTGATTTAAACACCGTCAGGGCTGGAGTGCCAAAGGTAGTTTCCTCTGCAAATGGCAGGACTGGAGAACTACTGCCTGGGGTTCTAATCCAAGCATCCAGTGTCCCAAAATGCCCATACACCCATCCCCTGTCTCACCTCCTTTCTCGCAGCCAGCCATCCCTCAGCTGTTTCCCAGCTTTTGTGCTTCCCCCTCACCCCCAATTCTAAAAGGTCGAAAACCCTCCCAGGAAGAAAATGCTAGAAGCTCCAACAGGCCAATCATTTTTTTTTCTTTTCTATTTTGCCCCCAACACCTTCCCTTCCACTCCACCCACCACTGGAATCCTTTTCAGCAAAGAAAAAGCTGTTTGCACCTTGGAACTGAACTGAACAAGGAATGTGGGGCAGGGAGAAATGGCCCTGCACGGTATCATTTCCTCTGATATCCATGTTTGGGAGCAAGTGCCAGTCCTGAAGTAGCCAAAACAGTGCCACCCATGCAGAAGAAGGAGAGCTGGGGTGGCGTGGAGCTCGGGGGCCACAGCTGCAGCTCACCGGATGACTTTGGACCAGGCGCTCGCTCTCGGCCTAGCTGGCTCCCAGGGTTATTGCTGTGAGGGCAGACT